AAACAGCTAAAAAATAGAAAATTTTAAACATTTAATCTTAAAGTTACAAGAGAGAAAACACAAAATATTTTAACGTAGATAAACTAAATTCAGGCAGACGAGCTGAAAAAATGAAAACAAGTCGTGGGAACTCTCAGAGTGAAACTCCTTCGTGTTTATTTGATTTAATTTAGTTTTATTATATTTATTATTAACAGAAAAAAGAACGTGAACACTTATAAATGATGATTAATTATTAATCTGCTGTGTGGACAGCATTAAATAAAAGGCTGGACTCAGAGTCTTCCTGCTCATGTGTTAGTAAAATATCTCATGAATGGATGGATTTGAACCAAACCCTCAGATCTACACTTGTGTCAGATTCAAAATGTCTCCATCAGATTTACAGAAACGTCTCATCTGGAGACCCCCTGTTGGGTGTTCCACGACCCTCAGCGGGTCCCCACCCTCCACTTTAGAAGCCGTGTGTGCTCGGCGTTACGTCAGCTGCTGTGTTTGCTCAGCAGCTGAAGGCAGAGCTCAGCGTGGTGAACAGATCCAGAGTGAACTTGGAGCTGATAATAGTTTCCTGGAGGCTGTGATCAGCTGACAGGCAGGTAACATGTTTACATCATGACTTCCCTCCGTTAGACCCCTCAGCTGATGGTTCTGATGGGTCCACAGGCCGGTCCTCTGGGCTGCAGCTAACACTTCCTTTAACAGGACCACCGGGTCGAGGTCTGACTTCTGACTGAGCCTGAGGGGTGATTTACAGAGTCCAGCTTCAATCWAAGGGTCTCCAGGGGGCGGAGCTTCATGTGTTGTTTACACAAGTCACTTCCTGTTTCGACACCCAGATCATCAGTGTGACACAGCTGGAACAGCTGGAGGTGCTTTATAACAGGTTGGTTTGGTTCTTCTGCAGCTTTTATACTTTAAATTACAAAGAAAAACAGTTAAATATGATGACTGTTGCTCCATGAGCTGAAGGAGCTAAAATACAGCTAAATCAGCTAAAAGATGGTGTGGTAGTAGCTGAGAGTCATTCAATACAAACAGCTGAGGGCTGACAGCTCAACAAGACCTCCATCCATCATTCATCCAACCATTATCCAACTATCATCCATCCATTATCCAACCATCCAGCATCCAACCAATATCCATCCATCATCCAACTATCCAACAATCATCCATCCATCATCCAACCATCCATCATCCAAGCATCCAGCATCCAACCAACATCCAACCATCGTCCAACCATCATTCATCTAACCACCATCCATCCATCATTCGTCCAACCATCATCCATTCATCATTCATCCAACCATCCAACAATCATCCATCCAGCATCCAACCAACATCCAACCATCATCCAATCATTATTCATCTAAGCACCATCCATCCATCCAATCATCCATCATTCATCTAACCACCATCCATCCATCCATCCATCATTCATCCAACCATCATCCATCCATCCATCATTCATCCAACCACCATCCATCCATCATTCATCCAACCATCATCCATCCATCCATCATTCATCCAACCACCATCCATCCATCCAACAATCATCCATCATTCATCCAACCATCATTCATCCAACCATCATCCATCCATCCGTCCTCATCCATCCATCCATCCATCCGTCATTCATCCATCCATCCATCTATCCATCCAACATTCAACAATCATCCATCATTCATCCAACCATCATTCATCTAACCAACATCCATCCATCATTCATCCATCATCATCCATCCAACCATCATCCAACATCCATCCATCATCCAACCAACATCCAACTATCGTCTGTTCATCATTCCTCCATCCAACATCCAACCATCACCCAACCAACATCCAACCATCATCTGTTCATCATTCATCCAACCAACATCCATCCATCCATCATCAGGTCTGGGGGTCAGCAGCTGGATCAGGTGAATCCAGACCTTCCTTGTCTTCCAGATCTTCTGGGAGGACTCCAACTTGTTCCCAGACCAACAGAGACAACGTCTGTCCAGCACATCCTGGGTCTCCTCCCAGTTGGACGTGTCCAGAACACCTTCCCAGGGGGTCGTCCAGGGTCACCCTGCTGACCAGATGAACCACCTTAGCTGGTTCCTGGATGAGGAGCAGCGGCTCTACTCTGAGTCTCCTGGAGAACTGAACTCCTCAGCCTGTCTCTGAGGGACAGTCCAGCTAGCCTTATCAGGACCTCCTGGATCTTAGATCTGTTTTTGGGTCTCTACCCAGAGTTCAGAGCACAGGTGAGGGTAGGAACCTAGACTGGCAGGTAAACTGAGAGCTTAAAGCTCAGCTCCGATCCATTCTTCTCTCACTGTGAACAAAACCTCCAGATCCCTAAAGTCCTCCATCTTAGGCCAGACCTCAGTCCTGACCCGGAGAGGACAGTCCACTGAGGACAGTGACGAGGTTCTGATGCTCCTCCTAACTGCACCATGTCACTGAAGTTCTTTAGTTTAAATAAATAACAGTTGTTGTATTTTTCCAGATTAATCTTTATTATTATGAGTTTGTTTTATTTGAACACATTTTATAAAAATGAGAGGTTTTAAATAAAAAAAAAAACAGATTATTTACAAACTTTAAATCACTTCGTGCTTTTGGTCCAATTCAAGTCAAATTTGAACCATTTTACTTTGATTGAGTCGTGAAAAAAACAAACATTATTTAATTGTTGAAAAGAAAAAAGGTTTTATTTTCAGTCTGTAAAAGTTCTGAGTCGCCTCCCGACCCACAGAGACCAGCCGGTTCCTAGAAGTCAGACTTCAGAACCAAGAGCAGTTATTTCTATTCTTTCCAACAATCCTCTGATGAGGTCCAGCTGCAGAGTCCAGATGGTTCTGCTGCTTCGGAGAAATCGTGACTGGCTGAGAAGAAAAGTTTAAACATTTGGACTCGTTTGAAAAACAACTCTGGATTAAAAAAATGATCTTTTCTCAGAAACAAACCTGAAATTAATCATCATTAAAATATTCAGCTCCTTCAGGAGGTTTTATAACTTTATCAGTCAAATATTTCACTTTATTTACTAGTGTTGTGTTAATGTAAGCTGTTAGAGGTTTGACAGTTTTAGCTTTTAGCTGCTGTTTTAGCTGTTTCTTACTTTGAGCTGCAGTTTGGTTGGTTTTAAATTGAATAAATCATTCTCAGGTTCAGAACATTAATCAGGTTTTCTTCCAGCAGGTAGTTCGATTAAAAACGTGAACAAATCAAGTTTTTTTTCTTCTCATAGTAAAATAAATCCTAACGGAGGCCGTCACAGAAAAACCTCCTCAGATTCCTGCAGCTCAAAGCAGCAGATATCAGAACCCGACCCGAGCGGACCGTGGATGAATCCCGGCCCACGTGAGACCCTGGACTCAGATCCAGCTCCCCTGTGTTCAGAGCAGTGTTCTGCAGAATTCCTGGTAAATCACTTCAGCTGAAGTGTGTGCACGGTTGTGCAACATGTGCTCAACTGAAGGCCAAAAACCCCCGCAGGTCCTAAAGAGTCCTCAGCCGGGCCACTTCAGAACCACTTAAAGCTCATTGGATCCAGAACTACTTTCCAGGATTTCACCCAAACAAAACAGGAATAAAAAAAAAAGAGTTCTGATTTTCCAACAAACAGCCTGCTTCATGTTGCCCTGCCATGTGATGAAATGAGAGAGAAATCCTACCTGGTTCTGGTTCTGGTGGTTCTGGTTCCAGGGGTGAAGAGGAGCAGGTGTGGAGGAGGAACAGGAGCAGGCCRAGCGCTGCAGCAGCCATGATGAGGAGCTGTGGGGGGAAGAAGTGTTTGCTGAACGTTAGTTCCTCCACTCAGATTTAAACCCACAGCAGCAGAGGCTGGTCCAGCCCACCGGCCCAGCCCAACCCGGCCCACCGGCCCAGCCCAACCCGGCCCACCGGCCCAAAGTCCCTCCACAAACCCAGCAGAGGCAGATCAGCCGGACTTACTTATTCTTTATTCCCTGCTGTGAACGCCTGATGTCTTTATTCAACTTTAATCAACATTAAAACCATTAAAACTCTTTCAGTTCAGAGTCGGACAGGAAGTATCTATTTTTATTTAAATATAGATTAATTTTAGACATAACTTGAGACAGGAAGTTCAGTTAAGTACCCTCTTTTAAGATGCCCCAAAAGACAAATCAATCCAGTCAATCACAGTTAGGGCTAACTCCGCCCACACACCAACTCTGCCAATCACAGTTAAGGCTAACTCCGCCCACACACCAACTCTGCCAATCCTAACTCCGCCCACACACCAACTCTTCCAATCACAGTTAAGGCTAACTCCGCCCACACACCAACTCTGCCAATCACAGTTAGGGCTAACTCCGCCCACACACCAACTCTGCCAATCACAGTTAGGGCTAACTCCGCCCACACACCAACTCTGCCAATCACAGTTAGGGCTAACTCCGCCCACACAGAGTCCTATTTGCCAATAGTTCGACAGGCTCCACAGAACAGAAACTAAAACCATTCATGAAGCTCCTCCTCAACTGAGGAGTCATTTGGGTCGACTCGGTTCAACGCAGCTAACTGAGCAAACACCAAAAAAATGGGTCCAACGTTGAGCTAAAGTTTTCGTGGTCACAGCCGACATGAACCGTCGTTGTGGCAACGGGATCAATCCCAAAACAACATTTACCCCGGGACTTTTAATCAAAACGGTCGAGAAAATGTGTTTTTCTTTATGAACGTTCTGCAGAGATTAGCATTAGTGGTTTTCTATTGGCAGCTAATTAGCACAATGCTAACACTTCTTTATTGCACAATATGAATTAATAATGATGTTGTTGATTCTAGTGTTTAAAGGAGTAAATTAAATGTTTACAGTTTTAATACATTCAGCACAGCTTTAGTTGTGATTTGTTTATATAAACAACTGTTGGTCAAATGTAAAATTATACATTTGTGTTTATAAGAATATTATAATATTACAGTTTAACGGACAGCAGCTGCAATTAATAATAAAATTAAATAAATTTATTTGTAACAAGTGGTGGAGGATTTTTTTTTTTTTTTTGGTGCGGGGGCTTAGAAGTAAGAAAGAGGGGTTTAAGGGGAAATAGATTGGGAACTGCGCTAAGATTTTTGATCAAAATTCAAAATGGCCGCCACAGCTAATGCTAAACAGCCACAACTTAGGCTGTGTCCAAAACGGCAGGTCAGGTCCTCCGAAGGTCAAATTTGTCGGCYGCATACGTCACAGCGCCGCGACGAAGGACGTCCAAAACGGAAGACTCCTCCGATGCGTCCGACAAATACGTCCTTCCTTTGGCCCGAATCGAAGGACAGGTCTGATGGATCCTTCCCGGCCCAGCRTATCCCATAATGCATTGCGGCCCGACCGGAGATTTCTTAAGCTAGTAATGGCGGACGAAGCGAGAGAAAAGAATACATTTTAAATAAAAATATGGTGATATAAAAAATTTTAAAAATTAGCGGTTGTAATTCTAATACTTTTATCATTTGTATGGACATGTTTTTAAATATTATTTTTTTGTCATAAAAAACGTGAAATAAACATGAACCTACAGCGGGCCAATTAGTTCTTCTAATGTTACCTTTAAGTTAATTTTACAGTTTTGTGATATTAATAATGCTAATGTATTGATATTTTTCTAGTTTTGATTTAAGTTTGCTTGTTTAGCGTCGTCACAGTTGCTAGGTGACATGACGTACGCCGGGGTAAGGAGGGGAGGCTAGACCGTCCAAATTCACAGCCTCTTTTTTTCCGGTCTTCCCGGTCTACCAAGGACCCGGCCCGCCGAGACCGGGGAGTCTGGGTCCTCCAGAGGACCCGGCCTGTCGTTTTGGACACAGCCTTAGTCATTTTCAGAGGTTTTGAGCTACAATTTGAGAGCCCCTCATATTACATCCAGAAGGGGGTCTAGTCCTGGTCCTGGTGGTCCACCGTCCTGCAGGTCTGTGCTCTGCATGATCTGAACAAACGTTGAATTAACAGGCTTCTGCAGAACCTGAAGAGGTCTGAGTCGGGTGTGTTGGAGCAGAGAAACAAGGAAGAACCTACAGAACCAGGACTGGACTCTCAACACAAGATGATCTTTGTTTAGAACTTAACTGAAACGGGAGGATTCCTTCAAGCCTTTAATTGGATGCTTTTATTTTGAAAAGTCTGACATTTCTGTCCTTCTGATCTGCTCTGAAATCCCTAAAAGTGCAGCTGAGGTTTCAGCAGGTTGAGAACGAGCTCATCCAGCTCTGTTTTTCACCTGGTTGAACTTTCTCTGGAGAAACTTGTTGCGACACTGGCGTGAAGCTGAGTCACTTCCTGCGACGCCTCGCCTGCTCTCCGAGCTGATCATCTGATCCTGGAGAGCAGAGCGGGGCGTTCCCTTCAAACAGACGTGTTTTGGAGGAGCTCACGTTTGACAAACATGGGAAACATTTTCAGCTGCTCAAACTAAAACACTTATTGTCCTGCTTTTTATTTTTAGTGACACGGAGGTTTAAACCAGTTCAGTGTGAATCCTGATCACTCAAGTGTAAATATTGATCTGTTTACTTAGTGATTAAAGTGTTATTTGTAGTCATGTGATCAGCAGCGCAGCTTTAGATGTTTCAGCGAGAAGCTCGWAGAAAAGTTATCTGTTGTTTTTCACAGCTCTGCTTCAGGTCCACGTTTCATGAAACGTTACGAAACCCTGAAGACCGGAGAGAACCAGACCGGTTTCAGGACAAACTTCTGAGGATTATTGAGTTTTCAGCTGGAATAAAAACAATAAAAATCCCTGAAGTGACTTCAGAGCAGAAGATAAAACCCAGATGTTTCCCTTCGATCACGTTAGCGCAGATTTAAAGGGGCGGAGCTAGACTGGCCAAGGTGATTTTTAAAAGGGGAACATACAAATATTGATAAGAAAAAATTCAAGATGGCCGCCACAGCTAATTCCAAACAGCTTAAATTCAGTTGTTTAAATAAATATTGAGCTGAAGTTTTCTGTGATTGAAGGATGATTTAAAAAAAACATACTGAAGTAGCCGAAAACAAGCTTTACCAAATTCTAAATGCTAATCAAAAATTCAAAATGGCCACCACAGCTAGTTTCAAAAGGCTAAACTTCAGCCACTATAAGACGTATTGAGATGAAATGTGTATGGGGGTAGCTAAGCGTGATCACGCGCCTATTTAACAAATGCTAAGCCCAAGTTAAGCTAACCACTGATGCTAAAGCTAATTTTACAAAGGGCTATAATTTAGTTATTTTTAAACATACACAGCTGAAAATTTACCACACACACACGTATGTTTATATGAGGGACTTTTCAACTAATTCGCTCCAGGGGCCAGGGTTACTCAAAGCTCGGGGGGCCTGACATCCACCC